AGTCAAGAGAGTAGAAACTAATGGGGGTGCCCAGAACGGCTTTTTGTTATGCGGATGAAGAACCACCTTGTCACAGAGACCACACCCTGGAGTCTGTCATCTGCAGAAGAACATGTGTGTTATTCTCCATACTCAGAATCCATCAGTAGGCATCAAAGAAAACCCTTCTTACTGTCTCCCCAATGCACATCCTCATTTCTGATTGTGTTCTTCCAGCACCCCCACAATAGAAGGTAGCCTGTGAGTGTTTCCAGAGAGATTTACTGAAGGCGGAGATCCTTCTCCATGTGAGCGGTAGTATTCCAGGAACAGTGGACTGAAAAGTTTGGGCTAAAGGGAAAAAGGAGAAGGCTGGTTGAGCATAGGTGTTCCTCTAGCATGTGTTCTGGGCAGCCATGATGGGAAGAAACTGCTCCATCTCCTACTCCCACTGCCGTGAGAGGCCCTGTCTCAAGATGGTTAGGCCAAAACAAACCACCAGGTGCCCACGGACTGAGTCCTCAGAAACCATGAAACACAATAAATGTTTTTGAAATGGCATTTTGGTGGTCACAAGGATGAAGAGCTAATTAATACAGCATGCCTGATTTGCATCACAAACGCTGGTGTGGTACAGCATTTAAGAATAAGGAAGCAAACTGATGAAGAATGTGTTTAGTCCGTAAAGGATACAGCATCGCTTCAGCAGCAGTTGCTGCAGAGTCTGCCCTTCCTCCACTCAGCTGTCTTCCTTTCAGTGTCTTAGAGTGCCCGCACATGAGCTTCCCCTTCTGTCTTTCCTATGCCTCCTCATTCCAGTTCTCAGAGTGCCTAAGAATTTTAGCTAGGAGTGGTTGGTCAACTGAAAATAAACTCCACTTTTGGTGTGTGCTTTTGGTTTTGTTTTGGTAATATTTTGTCTTATTGGACTGAATTTATTTTTTCTCTTTTGCATATTGTTTGAGAGAAAGGGGGTATTGGGTGTGTAGGTAAGTAGGCAGGTCATGTCTGGGAGTTGTGGGAGGGAAAAGGATATGATTAAAATACATTGTATGAAAAGGTTTTTCCCTAGCATTTTTGTCTCTCATCTTTTTTATCACTGGTTTTCTTTTATAGAGAAAGAGTTCCACTTCACCCTTTGCATGCAGACATTCTTCTCCCTTACACATTGTGGGAAATGATCTTTTACACGAGTCCAATTGACATTGTCATAAGCAAGCTGGACTCACATATGTGAGTTCATTTTTGAAACTTAATCTCTGCTCCAAGATTTCCGTTTTCTCCCTCCCACCTTTCCCGTCCACAGCTCAGGGAGAAGCTGCGCAATGGAGGACCTGAGCCACTCAACTTTGGACTTCCCGAGACACTAGGGCCATTCTGTCCCTTCAAGTTTCCTAGAAGTCTAGATTCTTAGCCATAGTTCTGAATAGGCCCATGATGTTTATAGGGAGGCACGGGAGGAAAGGGCTTTGCTTTGTGACTGTCACCATTGTCACCCTCTTAAATCTTCTAGTTTAGGAACGTGGAATCTCCATTTACATAAAATTTACTTTTGAAATGGGTTGTGCTAGTTAGGAGATAAAACTTGTGCGATTTTTTTTTGTTTGTTTGCATTACATCTAAACAATTTTTTTTAAAGTTACAGTAAGTAGAATTGTTCAGTCCTTGCATCAGAGAATGTTTTTCTAAAACAGCAACAGGTGTACCCCCTCTCCATGGGGCTGTTCTCAGGAAAGCATGTCTAGGAACAGTCCAGGCCAGGAGAACAGCCTGCACATGTCCACTTAATGTGAGAAAGAGGGCAAGAGTCTCCCCAGGGCCAGCTTGACATCCTTGTTCCTCAGTGTATAGATGAGGGGGTTCAGGGTTGGGCTGAGGACCGAGTACAGCACTGAGGTCACTTTGCTTCTCTCTGGGCTGTAGATGGAGGCAGGACTGATGTAGGCACAGAACACAGAGGAGTAGTACACACAGACCACGATGAGGTGGGAGGAGCAGGTAGAAAAGGCCTTCCTCTTGCCCTCAGCAGAACGCATGCGCAGGATGCTGGCGATGATGCAGCCATAGGAGAGTAAGGTGAGGAAGAAGTTGATGCCTCCATAAAAGGCATCTGCTATAAGAGTCATGATGTTATTCACATATGTGGAGCTGCAGGAGAGGAGGAGGAGTGGGGGGATCTCACAGAAGAAGTGAGTGATGACTTTGGGGCCACAGAATGACAGTCTTGTCATTAGACCAGTATGGACAGATGAATTCAGAGCACAGATGGACCACACACTCAAGGCCAGGGCCCCACACAGCTGTGGGCTCATCCTAGAGCTGTAGTGCAGGGGTTGGCAGATGGCCACATAGCGGTCATAGGCCATGACCGTGAGCAGCAGCAGCTCGGAGGATGCAGACCAGACGAGGAAGAAGAGCTGGGTCATGCACCCCTTGAAGGAGATGGTGTTTTCCTTAGACACTAGGCCAAGCAGTGCCTTGGGCAGCACAGAGGAGGTGCAGACCATATCCATGGTGGCCAGGTTGCACAGGAAAAAGTACATGGGACTGTGGAGCCCAGTGCTGGAAATGACCAAAGCAATGATGACAATGTTGCCTGTTAGAGCCATTGTGTAGAGGGTCAGGAAGCAGCCAATCAGGAGCAGTCTTAGACTAGGGTGCTCTGAGAACCCTTCCAGCACAAACTCAGTCACCATTGTCTGGTTGGGGCTCAACATCATGATGGAGAGTATCTGTCTACTGCTGTGTCTGCTGGGTTTTGAGGAAGTACCAGCTTACCACTTCAAAGTAGGCTTTCCAAACTTGGTCATCTCAAAATTCTCTGCTGTCAGAAAGGAAAGGAGTGAGTGTATTTCCTTCATGGAAGCCTCTTATCTTTTGTCTGCATCACACCGTTTGAAATCACAGATATTTCATTTCCTTTTAGTTTCCCATCTAGAAACTTTCACCCTGTAGATTTGGATCAAGAGAGACATCTGTCCCTCCCTCATCTTGAACACGTGGGTTGACTGGAGCATCTCTCACTGGAGACCTGTCTGTGCTCCACTTATCAGCCCCCTATGAGCACTGTGCCCTGCGACAGTGCTGGAAACCCAGTTGTCCCCCTCCCTTCCACAGCAGTTATTCTCCACACAATGACAATTTCTGATTGACGAACACTGAGATGGCTCTTGTATCTTTCTTCACACCTGCCTTTCTAGCTTCCCAGGCACTCTTTTTTGTTTTTGTTCGTTTGTTTAACTACATGGAGTGGTTGCTCTATGACCCATCTCAACCTGGTAATGGTGTCCTCCATGACCTAGGAGCCATGCATTTTCTGAACTTTACTCATTGCAATCTGTGACTTGTCCTTAACCTGGAGTTGTCTTGACTCTAACCTACTTCAAATCTATCACCCCAGAGAGTATTTCTCAAAACCCAAGCCTATAAAGTCAAAGAACTTCTGGGGATTTTCTGTCTCAGTGAACCACAGTAACACCAAGGTCAACATACCCACAACTGAAGTCATCACCATTGTCTATAGCTGTCCTTGTGTGGTGTTAATGGCCTTGCACAGAAGCTTGCCCTCAGCTACCCAGTGTTTCAAGATGCGTATTCTATGGAGTTCCATCACTCTGACTCATGGTCTTACCTTTAGCCTATGCCTTGGTAGATCCTCATTAGATTCATGTTCCACGAGTCAAGCATGTGTTCTGCATCTTCTTACCTCTCTCATCCGATTGGTTCTCAAGTCTGCAACTGTAACTTTCCCAACGGTATACCCCATGTTCCCAATTTCTTTAGCTCTTTCATAAGTTCTGAATTCTTTTCATTTCCAATATCTCCAGTTTCCTCCTCCATCACGCAAGGAACACAAATTGTGTACCTTCAGATAACAGTCTTCCTGCCTCTAGTCCAAATTCACTGTGTCTCTCCCCAGTCCTTCAGCAAATCATGCTCTGTAGCTTGACACAGAAGACTCAGCTGATATCAGCCATTAGCCTTTTTTCAGGTTCCTGCATCACTTCATATGTGAACACATTTTACCCCATCTATGAACCTGTCTTGAAAATTATTTGCAGAGCCTCTAATCTGGAGATAGTCTTTGTTTTTCAGAAGTCCTTTTTTTCTTCTTTCTTTCTTTCTTTCTTTCTTTCTTTCTTTCTTTCTTTCTTTCTTTCTTTAAGATTTCTGCCTCCTTCTGGCCACCGCCTCCCATTTCCCTCCCCCTCCCCTGATCAAGTCCCCCTCCCTCATCAGCCCAAAGAGCAATCAGGGTTCCCTGACCTGTGGGAAGTCCAAGGACCACCCACCCATAGCAGCATTGTTTTTCAGAAGTCTTTAGGCGAAATGTTTCATTTACAGAATCCAGTGGTACACAACACTTCCCCACTTTGCTCTAACCTCTTTTTTTAATTCACTTTTTATCTCACATATATTTATCAAAGTATGGTTCACAACTTATTTTCTCCCTGACACAGTAGTAAATGTTGAAATTTAAACATTATATCTGCTTCCATTTTAAACTAGAGATAGTCAAACATTGTATTTACACTTTAGAACCATATGGATAATGTTATGTCTTACCATGTCCCCTCCCCTCTGCCATTTTATTATACTAGAAAACACCAATGCATATTTAGTAGTGCAAGTGGTTTTGGAGAAACAGAATTGCAAAAGTGAATTCTTCTAATGTTTTTAAAAGTTTCTGGACTTGTCTAGCTATTTCAACTACATCTGAAATTGTGAAATCCTCTCCTGATAATATTTATAATTTATGTGTGATATTAACCGCTATTGCCAGGGTACACATGCCTCAGAGTACAAGGAGTCTTCATTAAGATTAACCGTAGGGTGACCTCAGAGGAACTCTGAACCACAGCCTGCAGCTGTACACAGCAGACCAAAAGGTGAATGATCAACCAGTCAGCTGGACACCCCATTATCTAGGCCCTCAGTAAGGGACAAACCCCAGGCTCCTCCCCCACCTGCTTCACTTCTCCAGCTAGCCAGTAGGCAAGCTTCCAGCCGGCTGCTCCAACATTCCCCCCATCAATCCAACCCTGTAAGCTACAAGGCCCACTCTGCCCCCAAACCTATCCATCTCCTGCGACCTCAGAGGAACTCTGAACTTCAGGCTGCAATGGCACACAGTGGACCAAAAGGTGAGTGCTCAACCAGCCAGCTGGGCACCCCACTCTCTGGGGCTTCAGTACCAGGGCAAAACCCCAGGCCCCTCCCCCACCTGCCCCAGCTTCACTAGCTAGCCAACAGCCAAGCTTCTGGCAGGTCGGCCGCTCCAACACCTCCCCACCCCCATCCATCTGACCCTGTAACTAGAAGGCCCACTCCACACTCAAACCTATCCATCTGCTGTGACTTCAGAGGAACTCTGAATCACAGGCTGCAACAGCACACAGCAGACCAAGAGGTGAGTGATCAGTCATCCATCCAGATAGACAGCCCATTCTTTAGGCCCTCAGTAAGGGGCAAAACCCTGGCCCCTCCCCACTTCTCCCAGCTTCACCAGCCACTAGGCAAGCTGGGGTCATCCTTGTAGATTCCTGGGAATTTCTCCAAGGCCAGGTTTACTGTTAGCCCCATAATGGCTCCCTCAATCAAGACATCTCTTTCCTTGTTCTCTGTCTCTGTTCTTCCCCCATCTCAACCATCATGTTCCCTCTACTCCTCCTCATTCTTCTTCTCATCTCCTCCTCCCCTTCAACCCTCCCTTTCTCCCCCACCCCAACACTCCCAATTTTCTCAGGAGATCGTGTCTATTTCCCCTTCCCCGGGTGATCAATGTATGTTTCTCCTAGGGTTCTCCTTGTTACTTGGCTTCTCTGGGGTTGTGGACTATAGGTTCCTTATCCTTTGCTTTACAGCTAGTATTCACCTATGAATGGGTACATAACAAGCTCACCTTTCTGGGTCTGGGTTACCTCACTCAGGATGGTTTTGTTTAGTTCCATCCATTTGCATGCAAATTTCAAGATGTCTTTTTTTTTTTTTTTTTTTTTTTTTTTTTTTTTTTTTNTTTTTTTTTACCACTGTTGCTATGCCCCTCTTTCCATTTCTGATTTTGTTAATTCGGACACATTCTCTCTACCTCTTGATTAGTTTGGAAAAAGGTTTGTCTCTGTTGTTGAGTTTATCAAAGAACTAGCTCTTTGTTTCATTAATTATTTGTATCATTTTTGTTGTTTCTATTTCACTGTAAACAGCAAGAAAACAAATAACACAACTAAAAAGGGGGAATGGTATTAGACAGGGAATTTCCAAAGAGGAAACCCAAGTAGCTGAAAAAACATTAAAAAGTGCTCAATATCACTTGCCTTCGGAGAAGGGCAGATTAAAACTACTTTGATATTAAATCTTACCCCACTCAGAATGGCCAAGATAAAAAAGTCATGACAGCAGACACTGGCAGAGACGTGGGGAAAGGGTTACACTTAATCACTGCTAGTGGAAATGTGCACGGCCGTAACTGCTGTGGAAATCAGTATGGAGGTTCATCAAAACACAGAAATTGATATACTCTATATTTCAGCCTTATCACTTGCAGGCATGCACCCAAAGAACTATAAATTTTAATAAAGTGCTACTTGCTCTTCCGTGCTCATTGCTGCTCTCTCTGTTCATAGTAGCCAGGAGATAGAAAACAGCGTAAATGTCCATCATATTCATAATGGGTAGCGAAACTGTGGCCTTTACATAATGAAACATTACTCAGCTGTTATAAAAATGAAATTATGATGTTTTAGAATAATGGGTGGAACTGAAAGCAATCGTTCTGAGTGAAGGAAAACCCAGAACCCAAAGACAAACACCACTTAATTTCTCTTACATGTGGGTATTACCTTTTAACCTTTAGATATGTGTGCTCCCTTTGGAGTACTCAGAGTTTAGCATACAGTAAGGAACCTTGGGGAGGAAAAGAAAATGATGAGAAGGAAAATATTAAGCAAGAATGACGAAAGGGGGTGGAGGGTGGGAGGAAGGGGAGGGAAGGGTATGGGAGAGATAAGGAACACTCTAAACCTTTCAAAAATCTATATAGAAACCCACTAGAGTAGAAATTCCTAAAATAAACTCATATGCATTTATAAAAGGAATTGAAAAGAGTTACCCTGTAATTGAAGTACATCTGTCCTGGTTAGCTTTATTTCAACTTAACACAAGCTAGACATCTGAGAGGAGGGAACCTGAATTAAGAAAATGCCGCCTTGTGATCAGGGTGTAGGCAAGCCTTTAGGGCCTTTTGTTGTTTAGTGATTAATGAGCGATGGCCCAGTTCATTGTGGGTGGGGCCACCTCTGTGCTGGTTGTTCTGGGATCTGAAACACATCAGGCTGAGCAACCTATGGGAAGCAAGCCAGGGAGCAGCACCCCTTCATGGCCTCTACATCAGCTCCTGCCTCAAGGTTTCTTCCCTGTTTAATTTCCAGTCCTGACTTCCTTTAATGATGAACAGTCCTGGGGAAGAGTGTAAGTCGCTTTGGTCATGGTGTTTTGTTACAGCAATAAAAACCCAAACTAAGACAGCATCCTAACTAGACAACACATAGTACATAAAACTCCGGTACCGGGAATGTGTTAGCACTTCCTGAGATGTTAATCACAAGGTCCCATAGACCCTCAGACTTTACAGGCTTCTACTGTTCTTTTTTATTCCCCAGAATGTGGTGGTAAGACCCTGTTGTTGGAGACACCACTACTTAAACCATAAATGTGGAGCTATGAAGTGTGTTATGACCTGAAAGCTTCACTCCTATTTGTTAGTTTTTACAGTTCTGGAAGATGTTATGCACACTGCTTGAGGAGAAAAAAAATCATCATCAGTTTTATCCAGAACCCTATGAACTACAACAACAAACTTCTTGGCAAGATATGGCCACTGACATAGTGGTGGCCTCAATGCTGTGGGAGGGGGAGCCAACTACTTTCTGACTTAATTTGAGGCCAAACCTCACTAGCAAGAACCTGTTAACAAGGTCCAGACAGAATCTGTGGCTAGATAGTTCTTAGGCCTTAGAAGAAGGCCTCCTACTATTTTTCTGCTAGACAGATGTATCATTTAAATGACTCCTAATAATTTGTTGCTCCACCCATAGATCAGTCCATCATTCAACCCTCATCAGAGAGGCTTCTTTTTGTAGCAGATGCCAATTAGCACAAAGGCCAAGAAACCTTGAAGTGCTTAGATCTAAATAGAAGGTCTAGATCACAACCCTTTCCTCAACACTTAGAGATATTCATGGGACAGGGAGGAAATACCGTTGTAAGAGCCAGAGGTGGTGGATGACTTCAAAACATAATGCTTTCTGGAAACAATGGGGCAGATGCACATATGAACTCAAAGAGATTTTATAGCATACAAAAGATCTGTGCAAGCCAGACAAACTCCCAGCACAAGGAGGAGGTGGCCTCCTAGTCCCACCCTTAGCTGAGAGAAGCTAAGGGCATTTGTAGCTGTTGGCAAAGGCAGTCAGTATATTTAGTCATGTGATCTCTATATACAGACCAACTCTAAGTAGACTCCACCCTTAAAAGGAGTTGGTCAACAGAAGTTGGATTTAGTGAGGTGGTTTTTATTTATTATTTGTTTATTTTTTGAGACAGGTAGCTTTGGGACCTGTCCTGGAATTATCTCTTGTAGACCTGGTTGGCCTCAAACTCACAGAGATCCGCCTGCCTCTGACTCCCAAGTGCTGGGATTAAAGGCGCACGCCACCAATGCCCAGTAGATTTACTGAGTTTTAAAGGATAAAGAGATTAAAACAGCTGAGCGAGTAGTGAGGTGGGGCGAGGAGTAGAAGTGGACATGATCAAAGGTCATATGAAATCCTCAGGGAATCAATTAAATATATTTTAAAATCACATAATTTCAAAATTGGCAGGCATGTTGGCAATGCCCCTTTAATCCCAGCTGTTGTGTGAGAGAGGAGTTCAAAGCCAGAATGGTCTTTACAGACTAGTTTCAGATTAGCTGGAGCTACATACTGAAAATATTTCCCAAGGATATAAAATCATCATATCAGAGAGACACCAACACTCTTTTCTGAAGAAGTGGTCACATTAGCAAATAAATGGAGTAACCCTAAGTATTCATCATGGAATGAGGGTGTTAAAGAAGAGATACTGTATTTGCACAATGGAATGTTATTCAACTACAGAAAGCATGACCTCCTTTTATGAACACTAAAGTGGATGGGAATGGAGAATAATATGTGAAGTATAACCCAGGCACAGAAAGACAGATACCACATTTATCTTTCATCTGTGGAAATACAAAGCTCTATCTTAGTAGAATAATGATTGACAGACGTGATAAATGGCAAAGGTAAGGAAATGTTAAGAGAGATAGGGCAATGGGAACCAAAAACATTTAGACAGAAACATAAGTCCTAGGGCTCTGTTTGTGGAGTGACTATCTGCCTCAATCATCTCTTATGTATTTACAAATAACAAGAAGGGAGGAGATCAAAGCTTGAGAAGACAGAGATGACAAAGTCACAGAAATGTAAGTTTTACTGAGAATTTGTGTAAACATATTGACATATCAACCTATGTCATCAACTTTTGCTGTGACCTTCTGTTACAAAACAGCATTGACTGACATTATTCATAGCTAGTGGTATTTCAGAAAAATTCATTCGAGAAAAGCCAGATATAAACAGAAAGCAGTGTGGATGGAGTCCAGTGTATAAGGGATGAAGTGGGGGAGCAATGAAAGAGATAACATGATAGAGGGAGCCTTTATGGTGTTAGGGGGAAACCAGGTAGTAGGGAAATTAACAAGAATTCACAAGGATGACCCCAGCAAAGACTATAGCAATAGTGGAAAGGGTGCCCAAACTGGACTTCCCCTATAATCAGATTAGTGACTACCCTAATTGTCATCATAGAATCCACATCCAGTAACTTATAATACAGTGATCGACAGCCAAGCACTGGGCTGAGCTCCTGGAGCTTAGTTGAAGAGAGGTCCTGCCCACCTTCCATCTCTCCTTCTTTCTCTCTGTCTGTCTGTTCCTCTATCTCTCTCTGTCTCTCTTTCCACCTCTCTATTCTCTTCTGTCACTCCTGCCCCCAGAGGCTGGTCTCCCCTCTTCCCTCCCCCTTTTACCATTCACTTTCTCCCAATTAAAAAAAAAAACCTCCA